CCCCCCCCCCCCGAGCTCTGACAGCAGAACTTTTGATATTCTCTATTCTGCTTTGTTCAGTGTGCTCTGCTTTATGCTTTCTGAAATGGCTCTTGTTGCTGTGGCGTGGCTCTTAAATCATGACTTCATGCTCCAGAGTTTGGAGGTTTTATTTAACAAAAAGAATTTCGATTTGATTGCTATATCTGAATGAAGTGTTTGATTACCAACCAGTAAAACCAAGGTTGGCCAGAAGATGTCAGTTGTGTTTTGCAGGAGAGCTATGTTATTCTGATGACTTTAATATGTTTTTGCTTTTAGGTATGGTCCCTAGCAAAAGAAATTTGGGTGCTGCTAACAAAACTCCTCAGAACTGGGTAATCTAAGCAAGGGTTTGATTAACTTCAGTTTTTTGTTTGTTTTTTTGCCAAAGCTAGGGTATAATGGCTCAAGTAACCAAAGTGATTAAGCTTTAGAGAAAACAATTTCCTTGTCTTGCCATTGCTTGATGCAAGAAAATGAAGCCTCCTTCCTCAAGTCTTCAATTGCTGAAGAAAGAAAAATTGCTTCAGCTGAAGAACTGTTCGCTGAACTGTTACCTGTCTGTCCAACTCGTGCTGTCATGCAGCTTGTATGCTGCAGATGTTCACAGCTGCCCCATGGCTATGCTGTGGCTTAGTATGTTAGCTTTTGCAAGGAATTCAGTTTTGGAAATTATAGAGAAACAAGCCTCGCTTCTTTGAGATGATGGAGGTCTACTCATATCTCAGTGTCTTGGTGTTCACGGAGACATTTTGATCCTTCTGTTCATTCTCAGTGTCAGCTGGAATTCTGGAAAAAATGAAGGCTTGAGGAATAGATAGGTGTTACATTAAATATTAACTGCATTTCTTCTGGACATATTTACCTGCACTGGATGCTGCTGTAACTATTGAAGCTTGCATCTCTTATGTATTCTTGCTGTTGCTCTCTCCACCCTTGCTTTCTTTTCATTACTTCACAGAAATTAGTTCCGTTTCTTGTTGTGGGCAAATACTTTAGAGGCAACACAGCTTTCTCTTCCACCAACGATGGCGATGTCTTTCCTCCACACATAGTAGGGGAGGGAATTCTAAGCCATGCTTTCTGCCTGGTACACACTGAAGTGATGCTGCGAGCAGCAAAATAAAAGCTCTTTCAACTGTTTGGCTGCTTTACAGCAATGCAGTGTAGTACAGCATGTATCAAAGATCTGAAGTACTTGGTGATACAGATAATTGCTTTGTCCTCTGTGTCGTGACAGGTAAGAGATGGACTGTCCTTGCAGGCTTACTTTACCTTCTGTTTAATGCCAGTCTTCAGTCTGAGATAAGTTTGAGCCTCTGTTTCTCATCGCTTACTGTGGAAGTAAAGTAATTCAGACAATATTGGCAACTCAACTGAAAGATTAAAATGATGGGTGGAATTGGAGCAGAACAAGGCTGCTGTGTTTGGATCAGTGTTGATCCTCTGTGGAATAGCTCTATACTTAGACTTGGGTCAGATTCTGATCTCAAAACCATTTGATTTATGTGCTAATCAGATCTTTTTTTGTGCTTTTTCTATTAAGAATGAAATTGAGTAATTGGATAAGTTTCCAGAGGATGTACATCAAAATTAAAATCTAATAGGGGTGGGGCTTATACTGCAATTTATTAATTTAAACAAAGTAAAAACAGAGTTAATTTTTTTGGCAAGACTGTGTTAAGCACATAAAAGCTATGCATCCATCCCTAACTGATGTTTTAATGCATTAAAGAAACTTGCTGTTTGCCAATGATTTTCTGTGGTCTTTTGGGAAATCCTCTGTAAATTCTCATTTTGAATTAAAGATATTTGCAGTTTTTACTTAACTATGAAAATAGTTGAGTATATTTCCTGAAGACCCTGAAAAGATGCCTAACACTGCAGAAAAGATTTATTTTTATTGTGACTTTGTTTAAACTAAGTTCTCGTGTCTTTGAAATGTTTGGCTGTGGATTATATAGGATTATACTAGTCAATATTCTGAAAGTTTCTTTTGTGACATTACACAGAAAAGAGCGGAGGACCTCTGTAGAAACTGCAAAAACAATGCCATGTATCTCCCCTTTTCCAACTATGTTAAAAAAAGAATGGAGTTCAATTACATTTTAACTTGTGTGTGTGGTTTTCCAGTCATGTGACATAAAAGTAGGTGTCCTCAATTATCAGCATTTCCTTTCCTGTAGTCCTAGTTAATTTTTAATTTTTTTTTCCATTCAGGCTTTTAGAGGCATTCTATTGTTTTTTGGTGAATGCTAGTAATAAATATTTCTATGCCAACTCATGTTTTATTCATAGTGCTGATGAGAACAATCTCCTCTGAAATTTCTTTTGCTCAAAAAGATCAAAAACTTTACAGATGCAATAAATTTCTTTTCAGCTTGGTGTGAAGATTTTCTATTGCTTTGCTGGACGTTTTTGAAGAAACTAGAAATTGCCAAGTTCTGCTTTTTAACTGAAGCAGTAGGAACCAACCTCATACATACAGCAAGTGGACCAGCTCTTTATTTTCGTCATTTCAAGATGCCAGTATTGTACTAAAAACACATATGGCTACCTTTTTAATAATAAAAAATTAATTCTGTCATTAGTGGAAAATGCACTGTTGTGCTCTCTTGTGATCACATGGAGGTTTACTGCCCTAAGATCCTGGGATGTTGTCCAGAGTCAATTGACCTCTCCTTGAAACGGGTAAGAGTCTGAAACTTCTATATATGCATGCATTCCATTTGCAGAGGAGATGCAGCTGTAGATGTGCAGTACTCATGACTCTAGGGATTATAGATTTATATCCTAATGGTGATGAAAGAGAATTTTAACTAGTAGCTGATAGTGTATTTTTATCATTGGTTTTTAAACTTACTTTTAGCAGTAATGGCTTACATCAATAATCTACTGATAGCTTATTCAAGCTGAAGGTTTCAATTCATCCTCACCAAACAAGGTATTTCCATTGTTCATTATTATGTGCAGCTTCCATTTCAACTCTGAACTCGTAAATCATAAATGAATGTGAAGTGTTCATTTCTCTCTTTCAGCACTACCTTTATCTAATATTTGCTGACAGGGCTCATTGTAACTTATTTCTGAGTGCAGTCAGGCCTTGTTTTATGAACAGAATTCATTGTTGGAAAGGATTCTATAAATAGAACTTAAGGGGCACCAAAATGAGAAATTCTACCTCATTAGCGTCTTCACTGGAAAAATCTGATCCAATACACAGGAATTTTGAGCTGATGAAATACAAGCAAATCTCAAAATAGATTCTAAAGGGTTATGCTGTGAATGGACTATTAGTATGTTACTGTTTAGGGTGATAGAAAGAGAAAAGAGATTCAAGGTAGTATGTATTAGAATAAGAGGAGAAAAAAACAGCATTGATATTACAAAAAAGTATGTATACAGTGGGTTATTTTCTGGTACTTTGAGTTGTCTTCTTCAGGTGAGGCTTGCGTGAAATCAAAATCCTGTAACAAAATAGCCCTGCTTATCTTCCTCATATGTAAGAGACAGAGATGTCTCCTCTAGCAATGCTAGGTAGTGAAGTGGTAAAGCAAATTTATGGTGAAGTGATTCTATTTCAGCATCTCAAGGAGGATTACTAATGGAAAATATATTAATCCTCTGAACTATCTAGTCTCATGGAAGACTAAAGGCTTATTGCATCAGCCTAGAAGTATGTCCTCTGGGGACAACGTGAGGATGTGTGCACAAGTTCTGTGTTGAATGTGTCTGGCACATAGTGCCTGCCAGAAGTTGAAAGTCTGGTGCTAGGGCTTGCATGAAGACTCTGTCCTAACTCTTCCCATGCTGGGTGACTTCAAATGTGGCTGAATAATTAATTAAGTCAGGATATTATTTCATGATAACAAAACTAACTTATTTCTTCACTTCCTCTTTCCCCAGTGAGAAACAAAGTATACTGACTATGCAGAGAGAGACCCTATTGTCTTGAGACACAGTAAGTAACTGAAGAGGAATTGTAGGCTACTTTTTTAGGTTATGTACGTTTGCTATTTAGGAATAGTACTATCTCACTGCTTATGCTGTATTCTTAGCACATCTTCACTTCAGCTTTCTTACTGCGTATAGAAAGCAGACGAGTTCATCTGTTGAACGTGTTTATAATGAAAGGTTCATAGATGAAACTCATTATTTACAACATGTGTTTTAAATGATTATATTTAAAGAGGGGTCCTGTGAATATGGAAAGTTACGATATGCAGGCATGGGATGTGGACTTTGAGCAGCAGCAGACTGTCAGTATAGTTTTAGTAATTAAAAGTAGAAAAAATGAGACTTGGTGTAGAGTGTGCAGTTCACTGTAGAGATCTGAGCGAGTGCAGGGCTAGACAGCACTCATTCAGCACTTTGCCATATCAACTGGCTCCACTAAAAGAGAAACATTTTCTTGGCTAGCAAACCATAGCTGAACCATGTCTTGAATCTGTGTGCGCATCCTTTTCTCTGCCTGCTAGGTTTCAGATGCATTTCTCTGAAGCAACTATCTATAGCACAGTATTACTGTCGTGGATGGGACCATAACGTGAAGTGGTGGCCTGGATAGAAGCCAGTTGGTAGACATGAAGACAAGGCTGAATCTTAACTCGCAGTGTGTGTGGTCTCTGCGAGGCATTACATATAACAGGTGATTGTAAGAAGCCTTTTTGTTTTCTCATATGTGAGAAAAGTAATTAAAAAACAAACAAACAAACAAAAAAAAAACAACTGAGAAGTCATGTTCTTATTCTACTCAATTAAAAAGACGTGCATTAATTCTGCCTTTTTTTCTAGTGTTTATTTCAGTTGTTAATACATACAACTTCTAAGTGATGTCATTCTTTCCTCCCAATTTTTTTTTTTTTTAATGCTAATATTTTAAAACTATCTTTTTCACTTCCCAATTTACAGGAAATTTCTGATGTAAGAATATTTCTTTGACAAAGCATTTTGTGGCCCGTGAACTCAGAGACAGATGTTGGAAGTAAGGCAGTAGAGGCTGAACCTTACCCCCAGTATCCCATTACATTTTGTTGCTGTGTGACAGATGGCAGCAGAGGGGCAGTCTGAGAAATTGGCATCCAACATGGAAGTGCATATGAAGCAAAGATGTGTCATTAAATTCCTCCATGCAGAAAAAATTGGACTCATTAACATTCATGGATGCTTGCTGAATGTTTGTGAAGACCTAACAGTGGATATGAGCACATGAGGCAGTGGTGATGCATTTCACCAGTGGTGGCAGTGACAGTGGGTCACCTCCACTGATGCAGATTTTTCTGAGCACATCATGCAGGCCGCTGTTCATCACTGGTGAAAATGCACAGCTAATTGTTGTGACTATGTTGAAAAACATTTGAGAATTTGCTCTATCAAACAGTCTTTCTATGCTCTTTGTATCCATTGTAATTTTGGGAATAAATTGAAAGCAATGCCTCTTATTTCTGAGTGACCTATATAGATCTATTAAAAATGTAACTAGTGCATTTAGAAGTCACGGTAAGGGAGACCAAGGTTCAAAGACCTCTGTATCCTCTTCTTATTTGTTTTACTACAATTTCTATCGTTTCTTCAAAAACTCAAAGCAAAAGAAACAAACTAAAACAAACAAACATGGTCACTGTCCCTAATTGAAGTTGCCAATTGCTGTATCATCACTGAGTAGTTCTATGTATAGATATTGACTTGCCTTATTAGTCATCAGCACCCAATATTACAATCTGACTCATACCAGATTTAATTGGATACTGATAGATGAGTGAATTGTTTCAGATAAAATAAGAAATTACTTAAAAGTGTTTTGCATTAAATCATGCTCTTTTGCTTTCTGAAATTATCTTTTTAAAGTGTATGGCACTGTATTTTCTAAGTCGGAGCATGGTAGTTTCCCAGTATACTGTGAAAATGTGTCCTTAGGAGTTGGCTGACCCCATGTGTACTGGATTTCAAATCCATACCAAAACAACTGGTGCACATCAGATGTACCCAGGCTAGCTCAGTGAACCCAAACTCAAGTTATTTGTTAACTCTCTCTGGTCATACCATTGTTAACACAGACAAGCTTCTGGGCAAATTTTTAGGAAGCTGTAGTATTTTGTGGTCTTAGATCTTCTAAAGGTTGTGATTCACAACCTTTATTCATTAGTAGGCGTCTGATTCATTGCTGATTATAGTGGAAATAGATTTTTATGTTGCACTATAGTTGTTCATACTGGTTTATAAAGACAGTGTAATTATTTATATTATTGATGTCTATCTGGAGCATTTACGACTTGTCTGTAAAATCTATCACCTGCCAAGCAAGAGTGAGGAACAATTTCTATTTGAAAGGAATTTGAAGTGGTCCTTTTTTCTTTATGAAAAGACTGGGTTTTTTTTTGTTGTTGTTGTATTTCTTCTGTTTTTGTTTGAAGTTTCAAAGCATGTATGATATTTTCAGTAGAGTATAGAATGTGAACTTTCACAAAAATAAAAAATAATTATATGTTGGCTATAAAATATATAATATCTACATATTTCATAGCCTCACAGTCACATTTGGATTTTCTAGGGTAGAAATTTGAATATTTGGAGGTAATAAAATGCTACAGGAAATAAACCTTACAGTTCATTTCTATTCTCTGGAAAGGAATGAAAAGCCTTAATTTTCCATGAAAAGGCTATTCTGTGCATGCACCAGCTCTGTTTGAATTTAAATGGCTTACCTAGGAATGGTTCAGATGAAATAGAATATTATTTAGGTATGCAGGCTACATATTCTGATATATTAAGTGATTTTCATGCATTTCTACCATCAAAATACTGTTTTTTTTCTTGTTGTTGTTTGAACACCACTTTCTGCCTCTTTGCTAGTTAAAGCCAGATGTCTAGGCTCCTCCGTTTCTTTGTTGTTGGCTGTGAGTGGCGAGGCGTCTTTCTTCCCAGTTCTTAAACTTTTAATTCCAGTAAGCTGTACTCTATTCCTCTCGCAGTACCCTGCCTTTTCTCCAAGCCAAGGATTGTGGTATTTGTGATCTCTGAGACCTGCGTTCCTTTGTGTGTGATATTGCCTTTGGGGCACTGTCATGCCTTTGGGGCAACCACAGGGCTCTGGGAGGAGTCTGGGCTGCCTGGTGGAGCTCGGAAGGCACCTCCACAGTCTCTGGAAGTCTGCGTCTTGGAGCACCTGGAGGCTCTCTCATTTATGGAGGCCTCTTCTTGATTTCTGTTAGTCATCACAGATTAGATGGTAATAAGGAATTTCAGCTTCTCTTCCATTTACATTGCACTCATATCCAGCTCTTCTCTTTTTCTCTTCATCTGTGCTATTGTTATGTTCTTTCCACTTAACTGTTTCCCCTCCTTTTGATTTCCAACTCCCTCATCCTCTGTGGTTTCCACTTCTTTTTTTAAACTTGCATGTTAGTGACCCACCTGATGTAACTGCTGAATGTTTTCTGATGTCTTCACTCTCTCTGCATTCTGAGCTCAGATTTCCCAGCTAACCAGAAAAGATTTCTTGCTGATTTGGTCTCACTCAGGAGACCATGGCGTACTCCTTCACATCCTGCTTCTGTTTCCATGACCTCAGCTCCAGTAGTATTTGTCTTCTGTCATTTGCTGTCAGTCCTCATCTCCCTTCATTATTTTCTCTTAGTATCAGTGTTGAGTTTCCTGTGCTACTTTCACCTTTCTTTCTTATCATTCAGCTTCCAGGCTTGCCTGGAGTGTCAGCTCAGGCATTGGTATATGGAACATTTCCAGAGAAAATGGTGGTGTTAGGGTCTCTAACCTTGCTGCTGTTATCATTCTGCTCCTTAAACTAAAATTAGTTCTGTCCAGAATCTTAATTACCTGCTTACCATCTTCAACTCATTTCAAAACAGTTCTGCTTATTTTCATCTTGATTTCTCCTCTTGTTCAGATTCTGCTCAGACCTTACTGGGAAATTTTCAGAACATAACAAACACTCTCCCTTTCCTTTCAACATGAAAATGACTGATTCTTTATGCTTTCATTTGGATTTTTTTGTTTTGTTTCTTGAGGAGATGGTCTTCATGGAAAGTACATAGTAACTGTTTTGGAACAGCTATTTAATACCACAACATGTGTGATGTGGCCAGATATTTCATTTGATTTTTTTTTTGTTCCAGTGTTGATTTTTAGATTCTTAATTTGTGTTAAGTGTGTTTAGAATCTTTAATCCTTCCTCTGCAATGTAACAAATGGGAGGCTGGTGGAAATATTATGCTTCCTAAATGCCTAGGAACTGCAAGTGCTTATTTCAGCAAAAAGTGGCACTGATGAGGTACATACAGCCTTTAAGCAACGTCAGCTACATTGTGATACATTTAGTAAACACACGCACAACAGGGAAGACTAAATCTTTTCATTGTATAACAGCATCACAGCCTGTAACTTGAGGAGACTGATTCAGACTGAATAGTGAGGACACAGTGCCATCAGCCTTTGAAGAACACGCTCATTTCATTTCACCTTGGAAAGAAAATTTATACTGATGTCATATCATAGATTTGAAACCCACTTCATGTGTAATGTAAGTTTGCATCATTCCATCATTCCTTATTGTAAGCTTGCTCCTTTCAAATCCCTTTATGAATGGTCAGTAGCTAGAGGCCATTTTGTCTTAGCAACTTCATGGTAAATGCTTTTCATTCTTTCACTTTTTTCTTTCAGTGCTATTGCACATTTGATGGAATTGCCTGAGAATTTCAGAAGTCTAACACATGGCTGGGAGAGCTGACTGATGGTATCAGATGCTGAATGTTCTCTGGTGCAGTCTCATGCTTAAAGAAACTATCCTTCTGGGATGCTTTTATTCGGAATAAGAAAATGATAGAAGGAAATCTGATGCTGAGTATTTTCAATGCAGTTTGTTCCAGGATGGTTTGTTTAGCTTTCAGGTTCTCTTTGGTAAGCAATAACTGTTAGTTCTCCCATACCATATCTATTTCAGAGACTGAGACAACTGAATAAGGTGTTAGCAACTTTGCAAAAGTTACTGTGTATTATGGACTAATGGAGTTTGTGCCAATGGTAATTGAAAGAAATTATCTGAGAACAGATTTGTCCTGGTCACAGGCAGATTTGCTCTGCCCTGCCTGAGCAGAAAGCTCTTCCTGTAATTTCAAAGAAATGATTCTTAGGAATGAACACAAAACATTCTAGGAACAAGAACTATTCTTCTTCTTCTTTTTTGTATTCTTCTTTTTTGCAGTTCCACTTAAGCAAAGGATGGATACTGAGCAGTCACTTGTCATATTTGGATTTTATGTTTTCTTCCAAGTATGTATAGGAAACAGAATAGTTTGGATGAATAGAAGAAGGAGCAGTGTCAATAGTAGGTAGAATTGGTTCTCAGGGATGTTAATCAAAGACAGGAAGGATAACATCTGGGAATAAATGCATCTTTGAAGAAGTGTGAGCACATGTGACTTTGTCTAGAGAAATCCCCCAGACTGACTGGCAGCTGGCTTAGGATTTAAGAATCTGTTACACAGATCACAAGAACTTTTCAGGTCTCAGTAAACTGCCTAGTAATTATTTATCTGACTCTTGCTTGCCAAGTATTAATTAGACAAGCATCCATCTCTCTATCAATTGTATATATTGGGACTGTAGAGCATTTGATTCAGTGTTAGGTCTGTATTTTATCAACCATCTGGCCTGCTGTCAGCAGAGTCCTCATTTCCACCTCAAACTGGGGATAGGAAAAGCCTACCTAAAGACTGTATTTGACAGTGATGCTCACCCATGACACAAGGTTTTAAGAAAGTCTTGGAAATAAACTGATAGCACTTAGCTATAAAAAGCACGGTCTAATATTGTTCTGTGGTCTCTATAATTGATAGTTATTGCCTTTTTAAAAAGAAGTCTAAATTGCAAGGTGATTTCAGATGAGAATTATGAGTTGTCTATTGCTTGCATACTGACATTCACCTTTTTTGGAGCTGTTTGGAGCCTATTCCAAATGAAGAAAATTCAGAATCACTCACTTCTATCTGGCAATCTGCTGTGCATTGTTCCGGGCCTTGTCATTTACCTTGTCTGACTCAGTCTGAGTAGCGTAATCATGAACCTTGTGTATTTAAGACATATAAGTGTTGTTTCTGGTTAAAAATAGGAAATCAAGCCAGTAGAAAAAGAAGAGAATTGAGATTTAGACTTCGTGCTTGGGGATTAATCTGGAGGAATTCTTATCCCATTGGAGTCACTGAATTCACACTAATGTAACGTAGTCAGGAACTTGACATGGGTATTTGTAATGTATCAGAAAGTTCTCCATGGTAAGTTATAACTGTCATCCTTTAAAGTGGGTACGTAAGTTGATATGGCAATAGTAAGATGAGTAGTAGTCTGAACTAGAATTTGTTTACAAGTCAAATTACTGCAAGTGAATTTGGTCTGCTTGCTGTTTTGCAGTAGCTTTGTGTGTCTTCCTGAGACAGTTCTTTACTGAAAAATAGTGCATAGTGGGATGCAGCATCTTTGCTAAATACCTGAAGCTAACTTCAGTATGACACAGGATCAGAGTTACCTGCCTGGACTCCAAAGACAGCAAGCAGTTACTGAGGTGCAGTGCTTCTGCTTAGTTAAAAAACTGTTAGCGGCACCTCTTGTACAGTGTTGTGCTATATGGCTGCTTCATTTTGGTTCTGAATCACAGCTTGCTGAAGGAGATCTGCACCATCTGTCTTTATAAAGAGAAGGCATATCCTCACCTTGGAGTCTCTCTTTGCATGTGAACTAATCTTTGTGAAGTGTTTGCACAAAAGAAAAAAGAAAATTTTAATATTTCCTTATCCAGGTTTGATGGCATTGCTGTAAGACAAGGTTGTGAGTCATTTTACTACAGCTTTAATGTTTAGCAGTATTTAAGTATTTTTACTGACAACTAGCAGAATTTAAAAATCTAAGCTAAAGGAAGAAAACTTCCTTATACTTTACCCTGCTGCAAAACAGCTCATTGTTTTACTGAGAATTTTTCTGTTGCCCATATTCAGGTTGAAAATTTATGTTATGATTTTCTATTAATTTTAGTTGAGTCTGCTTTCTGTTTTTGTTTTTGTCTTTTTTCTCCAAATAAAGCACCTCCTGACAAACAGAGTGCAAGATAACATACTTTTCTGTAGGTTGATCCTTGTCATCAGATGTGATTGTAGAGATCTGACAAAGGTCAAGTAGGAATCTCCCAAAGCTTAAGAATGTAGACATACATACACTGTGTAACAGTGTTTAGAAAGAAAACATTTTTTTTTCCCACTGAATTATCCAGCAATGGTAACAAGTTTTCCATCCTTCAGTTTTCTTACGTTCTTTTCTTTATACTATTTTGAGGACAAGCTTTCATGGGAGGTTATAGTCTCTGAGTGTTTGAAATGGTCAAACGCTAAAAGGAGGGGGAGATTACATACAGAGGGAGAACAGTTTACTAGTTGGATTAACACTCATAATTGGACAGCATGCCTTAAGGGGAAAGTCTAAAGGATTGAATTTCATCTTAATGACCAGTGCATATTAACGTTAATGAATAACAAAAATAAACAGTTATATCCAACGCTGTGTTCAGCTGCAACAATTTGATGACCAGGCTTGGAATCTAATCTTGACAGATTCTCAATCCTTTCAAAGTAATTGTGAAATGAATTGCATTCAGGAGTCTTAAAGTATATACCTTGAGTCTATCCTGCTAAAATAGGGCAGCTTGGAATCAACCTACTTTCAGCCTTAAGCAGCCTTAATGCATTGGTATTTAGGTCCATATTTATTTACGAAAGAAACAGGGTCCTATTCACTGGTTTACTGTGTAATCAACTTCAAAAATTATTTCATATTGGTAGGAGTGCCCATTATACTGATTTTTTTTTTTTTTTTTCCCTTGTTTGTTACATAGAGTGATTGTTAATTATCAGAAAGGGAACTGAGCAAGGAACTCCAATGGAAAAAAAGCTTTACTGACAGATGAGAATCTGTTTCTGATTTTCTGATGATTAATCATGGATCTCTGTGCTTTCTTACCTTCCCTTCAATTGCCTGCCCTGGATAACGTACATGAATTGCAGTCTTTGTTCTGTATAGTGGCAAGTGCAAGGACTACAGATGTTCTAACTGCAGACATTTACAAATGTTAAACTGTATCAGCAACTAGAATTACAGTTAAGTTTGGAGGCAAGCTGAAAGTAAATTTTCAATCCCATAGAATTGACAGAATGTTAATGTAAAACCTTATAAAACAAATAACTTCTGCCACAATTCGAAGAGATATTTGTTGGAAATGAAGTCAGCCATCCACTAGCTTTATCTCAAAGTAATAATTGTACCTATTTGCTTATGTGAGTCTTCCTGGGTTTATGGCCTCCAACCTTGGAGGTTTTCAATCTTCTTTCTGTTATCTGTTACATGTGCTTAATCACTCTTGTTGTGAACAACATTTTCCTTATGCCTTTCCCCTGTTGCATCTTGTGACTGTTTTTGTGCTGTTTTGTGCTTCTGTGGTGCCCCTTTGAGAACAGACCAGTGCTGTCATGTCTTTTGTGTAAGCCCTAACTTCAGGTAGCAGAAGAGAACACCTACATTCCCTGGCCTTCCTTTCTCCAGGCTAAACAAACCTCCTTCTCACATATTATATGTTCAAGGTCCCTACTCTCTCTGTGGCTTTCCATTTGATTCTTAAGAGTGAGAGGAGCTGAGATCCAAAACAGTATTTCAGCCATGGCCTCGCTCATTCTAAAGCTGTGATTCTGAAGTGTCTACTTGTTCCACTTTATAATATTACATTTTCTTAAGTAAAAGTTGATTTGATAGTCTGGACTAGTATTTAGTTGGCTGCAAATGATACTGTTATCATGAAAATGGTAATCCTTGCTTAAAAAATCTTACTAGTAGTGTTATCCTATACAAGGATCAGAACATTATTACTTTCCAAGTTCTGTACTCACTGTTGTAGAACTAGGTCTAATCTGGTAAGCATTTTTTAAACTACAGAACATTTAGTAGCAATACATATTTCCTTGAGATTTGTGTCTGACTAAAGCAGTGAACAACAGAAATGTTATTCACTGGAACACTGACAGCAATGGCTGAATCAGGTAGCACTGTCAAAATGTTACTATTCTGTTATCCAGATACACTAAACAGATATAGGTTAAAAAAACCCACAGGCTTTACCTACATACTAGCTTCTGCTGTTGGTTATGGCTGGTGGAGTTGCATTAGAAGAAAATTACAACTTACAAAAAAAAAAAAATTTTGAATACTGGCATCTTTACTTTGCCCTGTGAATAAGCAGTGAACTTCTGTTCAAAAGTGGGTGAATTTGGCATCCAGCACTAGCACCACATTCTCTTATTAAAATAAACAAACCAGGTTATTAAATCAAGATCATTAAATGAGGAAATTCTGTAGATTGCTCTGAAACGATGCCTCCTGTTTATTTCCATGTAAGCTACAACAAATATAAAGAGCACAATAACACAGTTTGATAGAGGAAATTCTTAGCTACAAAAAACTGTTTTTCAGCACAGTCACTGCCATTAGCAATTCATGTGGATGAGTTGATCGAGATGCTCTTTGTTTCGTGGTGTGACAGCTGTGCATGGCTGTCTGGCCTGTGTCTTTCATGTTGCTGTCACTGCTGCTGAAACACACCACCCCCCTCTTCACTGTGCTCACATTCATGGTTTCGTCTCCGTAAATGTTCAGCAAGTGTCAATGAATGTCAATGTGTACAATTTTTTCCATGTGGAGTAATTCCAGAACGCACCTTTGCTTCATCTGCACTTCCATGTTGGATGCTCTTTTGTAAGACTGCCCCTCTGCTGCCATCTGTCACATGGCAACAAGACGTAACAGAACAGTGGTAGGAAGTTTCAACTTCAAATGCCATGCCACCTACATCTGCCTCTGATGTCATGTGCAACATAATAAGACAAAAAGCATTACTTTCGGAGCAGCCCTCGTACATGTACGTCATCCCATAGGTACCTTTCACTTCTAGTTAATTCAATGCAAATTTTTTTTCTCTTCAGTTCCATTGAGCATCAAATCATCAGACCCTCAAGAACCTCTTGAAGTGACAAGCCTTTAATATCTCAGCAGCAATGTGGAAAACCTCATGCGATAGCACAGTCTCCGCTTTCTAGGTCAGTTGTTTCTCTAGTGAGTACAAATATGCAGCAGAACAAACATATTTCTCTATGTTTAATGAAAACCATGAGCACTCTCACAGAACCTGAACTGTGTAAAACTGGTCATGTAGGCGAAAGATCATGAAAGTTTCTCTGAGCTCCTGTGCCAAAAATAGTGGACATTTGCTATCTAGAATCAAAGAGCTGCTATAAAAAGATGATTCTAAGCCTGTGGAGTATCTGTGTCATTAGTCAGGAGGGTTTATTTTTGGAATAAGCGTTGACAATGCCACTTACAATCAAGGCAGACATAAAGCTACTGAACCATGAGCTCCAGGAGCAGCGTTACACAGAGAACACTGTGACTCTAATGTGAGGAAAACCAGGGTGCGTTACCATCTGTGAGCTTTCTATCTTAGAGAAGAAATGATAATTATATTACAGAACTACATAATTCTTGCAGTAGTTTCCTAAGCTCTGTGTTTCCCAGAAAACTCACAGGCCTTATATGTGATGACCCTTTCTCTAGGCCAGAAGGGCAAGATGCTGTTCATTGTTTATCAGCCAGTAGTGGCTGATTAAGTGTCAGAAGACATGTTCATTACCCAAGTGCAGAGCTTGAAGGCTCTCTGCAATCACAGCATTTTCTGACCCTCATGCTCACACTCTGGTACACTTGGGGATTTTTTATGATTGAAGTAGAAATTTGTATTTCCAAGAAAAGTTAGTGTCTGTCCATTTTTCTAGTCCTCAGTACCACTGTAATTGAGGGCTTTGCAATCTTGCCCTTAAGAAGCCCTGCAAATATTTTCAAGCAGCAAAGCAAGGCATAGACTATTAATTTGTTCAAGGTCACTGAAGAAATCTCTGATGGAACAGAATTCAGGTTTCCCAAGTGCAGCTGTCCTCAGTGGTACTGTCATCTTCTGACAAAGGGTATCTTTTATTAGAAGACTTTATTCCAACTGATAGGCTGAGTCAATTTATTTTGCTGCACTTCTGGAGTGGAGCTGTATCCAAATGCAGTCTCCTGGCCAGAACTTGCTGCAAATGGCAAGGTGTCATACCAGTGTGCTTGTAAAGACAAAACGATAGAGCAAAGTATAAGCTGGCAACCTAGCCAGTTGTTCTTCTGGAGCACAGCTGCCTGGTATAATGCACATGTGGCCTAATGGTACATGTCTGGGCAGAAAAAGACTCCTGGTGACTCAAAATTTCTAATTTACACAGATGTAGTACATGGTGGTATATAGGCATTAGTCCTTTTCCTATTTAAAATAAATGAATTGTCTGGCTTCAAATTCAAACTTTTTTTTGAAGCTGAGAAAGTTGTGCAGGTCTCCGTGTGTAATAGATAGTTAATGTTACACTGAATTATGTATCTAGAAAGCAGAATTTATACAGGTAATATGTAATTCAAAATATTTGCTATGCTTAAATTAAGCATTTCCCTGCTCACCTTCCTCTGATCTTGAAGAGCACTGCAGACCACATCTTTTTCCACTGCTTGCACTGTGGTATGTCTTATTTAATACATCTCTTCAGGCTATATTACTCAGTCCATCTTAGCAGCAGAATTTGGAGTCTGCTGCTACATAGACCATCTGGGAGCTCTGCAAAGATGGAGAGAGTTCTGCTTCACTTTCTACAGGATTGAGACTATGAGGAAAATGTCAGAAAAATTACAAAAAACAAGGTGGGGAGGGACTTCCCTCTTTCTCAGTGATTATTAGAGATAGACACAGCACTCCGACCTTCTTCCTTTCTACAGAGTTCTATTTCCAAGTCACACTTCTGTTTATGCTTTGTTTATGCACATTTCTGTTATTCTTTGAGTTGCATAAAATCCTTTTCCGACATGAAAGATGTTTTTATCCAATTCTTACATCTTGTGCTTGTCTCTGGCTATGTTTAAAATTATGTTAGAAGTTCAGTTTTGTTCTTTAAGGAATGATTAAAAAGACTGAAGTAATTGACAGTGGTGTGAAGAAGGCCTGCTTCTTTTTCATTTGTACTAGTATAAATGTGAAACAATTCCACTGAATACAAAATCAATTTCTCAAAGAAAAACTAGTGTTGGAATGCTGATGGTAACAAATTTTCTTTTACAGGCTGGTAATACACTTTTCTGCACAAACACTGAAAAATTTAAGTGATTCTAAAAACAATGCCATTGTTTTGCCCCCATGGAATGAAATCCTTGCCAAGTTTCCAGGGAATGTGTTTGATAAGGACTGGGCATCCTTGTGACCTTACTAAATACTCTCCTAGTGTGGGAATACATCTTACACACTGTGCCCAATAAGAATAGTAACATTGCTAACTTTGTAACAGATAGCTAAAAACAGACTACTTCACACCTTGGGTAAAATAGTCCAGTATCTCATGGATGATGTGAGAAAATCAACATGTGAGTGAGACTGGGGGTTTGATTTAAAAGAAAGGGGATGAGAAGAGAAAGCTCAAATGATGACTCCTGGGTAATTAAAGCTGTCTAATCTGGCTCCTTTCTGACTCTAAAGTTACGCATGAAGGTTTATATTGCAACTCAGCCCATTAATGATGAATAATTGGATAGGTAACAGAGCAGCTCACATCACCTTCTTTCCATAGTGCACTGATGGGAGAACTTTGCTTCAGAGCTGAAAACTTGAGTGACGTGAAGAGTATAAATGATATTACTAAAGTAAAATTTCACAAAAATACACTTAAAAACAAAGAAAAAAAAAAAAAGTACTTTACAAAGAAGTCTCACTACATTTGGGGCTGGAGTACTTGCCTTTCTTTCCTCCACATTCTCCTCTTATTTTATATTTTTAATAGATTGAAACTCTGCTTTGATAAGTATGGAGACAGCAATACTTCATTAATGATGGTAACAGTGTTATTTTGCTAGGAAACACTGCTAAGCTCCAGCTTCTAATTCAAGCATGAAAAGTAGTTTTGAGGGTAAGGTTTTTAATTCCAGTTGTATAAACTCTGCATTTTAATGTATCTAAGACATCTTGCACAATTTTACAGCTAAGCCCAGATATCTTGCTAATTCAATTTATTACGACTTTGCATATTTACAGGTGTTTTTTACTGTTAGACTGCAGAGTTCACTTTATAATAAGGCTTGGCAATTGTGGGGAAAACTGCAAAAATTTAGCAAGAGTACAATTTTTTCTTGGGTTGATTAGACAGCCAACAAACCAGATAGCTTAGCTCCAAATTGATTCATTATCAGCAGCAGTCCAGGATATCCAGTCAATACATCCATTTTCTTAAATATTGATCAAGATTGTAAAGTTTGACAGATTGCAGTGGCATGGAAATCGTTGCTCTAGTTTATATTTTTGAATACTTTTCACCTAAACCTGTGTCTGTAGAGACATTTCAGTGAAAACCTGTGATGCCTCAGTGCTAATAAAGTTTGTAATACAATTAGGAATCTTTGCGTTTGACAAACCTCAGCCAAATTTTCATAATAGCTGTTATTGAGCCTGACTTTCAGAAATCCGTGCCTCGCATTTTAGGAGTGATCAGTTATTTGAAAATTCAGCTGAGCTTTGTCAGTTGTCCTATTTCAAAGCACACAAAGTACTTCAAGTTTATGTGAATGACTAAAGTGTTCTGGGGAAATAAATAGCAGGAAATGCTTTATAGATGCAGAGGTTTGCAGTATACTTGTACAGAAAAATGAGATACATTCAGTATATATGTGTTTGGATTTTGCATTTGCATGATTCTCCTGTTACATTATTTTTCTGAAGGATTTGGGAGTTGTCATTTGTCACTTCAGTTGCTTAAGCCCTGCTGAAAGAGTTCTATTATTTAATACATTCCACACAAACATTAAGAAATTCATGATGTTTGCTTCACAGAACATCAAAAATTTCGCCGAAAATTCCTATTCCATGTCTGAATGGATAGCAAAACTTTTTATTTTATCACATTTATTTTGAGAGGAAATTGACATTAAAGCATTTAGGAGTCTAATAGTCTTGTCCTAAATCGTTCACACTCTAAAACATCCCCAGTCTCTCAAACATCAGAGAAGTCTCACTTTCAATCAAATGAACTATTTATCTTGACTTTTAAGCTTTTTACGTAATTACTATTTTATTGTTTGCTTGTTTTTTATTATGCAATTTATTAAAATGATATAACAAGCAAAATAAAATGAATTCTAACTGCTTTTCTTTGCCTTATGACATATTTTACATTTATCTCATCTATTCTGCAGGTATAATACTGCAAGATCCTTAATTTGCTAATAGTGGGATTTTAAAATATTTCTTGATCTGCTCCATGCTCTGCAGATATAATTTTGAACCAGAGTCTGCAGTGTTCTGGGAATCCTTGCATAATCTGGAATGTGCCATAAATAGAACATGCACTCAAATGGAAGGAAAGCGTGACTTATTTTATAACTATATGCTTGCCACAGATCCAACTTCCATCCAAAGTCAAATTGTTCTTGTCAGGATTGCCAAGTTGCCAGTTGGACAGAGAAAGCTCTTGCAATGTGCAAGGTGACTTTTCAGATTAAAGGGAGTAGGGGAGGAATGAGGTTTCTCTTTCTGCCAAGTAACTGGTTTTGGTCCTTTTACTGGGTTCTTCACATATTCAGCTTGTGGTACTCTCCCACAGTGAGATCAGATTGACTGTTCAAGAAAACCTGTGAGACGCTGTCCTGAGTTATGGTCACTACTGAGTCTCCACTGATATCAGCAGTTCTAGCACTGAAAAGAGCTGAGCCTTTGCAACTCATAGAGATATGAAGACATAATCAGTGAGCAACTGTATCTTTATTCTATTTCTGTGTGCCATTCACAATTACTGATTTGACATAAGAAGGACCGACTTGGAGAGCACTACGTACCTCTCAGCCATCACCCAATGAAAGTGAGATGCAGCTCCCATCAGGTGGCTCCTTTCCTTTCTGATTTTTTTCTTTTCATACATTATCGCCAGATTTGCTGGCTAGAGTAGGAAGAGGAAGCAATAGCAATGCAAAACCTGTGTCTGCCTCCAGAGTTCTGTCAAATTGGTTGCTCATTTACTTTTTATTTTTACTTGCTATTTTTTCAAGGGCATCTTAGAGGAAGAAGATGGCTCTTCTTGGCTTTCTCAGATTTGTGATCTGACAACAATTTGTGCCCTCTTTATTTCTGTTCTTCTGAACCTTTTTGATTCGTTGTGAAAAACCTGCTATTGTTGCAACTAGGGAAAACTCTGAAATACAAATTTATGGATTTTTACTCACTCAGTGAAAGTTGATTCCTCTGTCTCTTCTACTCATCTGGGTCATCAAATAATTGCAACATCTTAATTCCCAGCGATCTGAAATGAAAAATGTCAGTCTTTCCTTTAATTTCCCCAAACCTTCCATTTATCAGAAGACCTAATCTTAAACTAAAGTAAGAATTAGATTGGAGGACCACAATAAGAGTGGACAAACACAAGTTCATTAGCCTACCAAGGCTTTCTGAATGTGTCATTGAAATTACTATATTTTGAAACCAGAAAAAGGTTTTTTGGGGTTTCTGTCATTACTCAATGAGGTACAGTGTTACTTGTAGCTAAAATACGGCTGCAATGCAGCCCCTCTTGATGGTGTAACTTTTGATGGCTATGATGTGATTTACACAGCAGAGGGAATCCTTTTAATTTTGCAATTTATTTAGCTCCACTGCACCTCTTTTCTACCCTGCCAGGAAAATGTGTGGCTGCACTGCTTTTATTAACTGTATCTATTTTTAATAGGCCTCTTGAGTTTACTGGCAGTTGGTATTACTGAAAGCAGACCTCATCCTACTGCACCCTACACATGGGTGTATTTGGGCATGTGTCCAACTTGAGAGGGAATATAAAACCTCTTCTGCAAAACCATTTGGATGTGAGCTAGACTACAGTGACATTCTGGAGCAATGTTACAAGATATGTGTAAACCTCAAAAATATATTTGGAAACAGTTTCCAGACACGTGCTTGCAGCTGGGAGGAATTTTAATATTTTTCGTAGCTCAGTGTTGCTTATATTACGTGCAAAGAGAATCAGCTGCCAATTACATATGAGTCCTGCAAAAATCTTGCCTCCAGAATGGAGATCTTGTATGTAAAGCACAGTTCTAAGCAATTAGGAAATAATCACTTCAGTAAAAATGATGTACAAATTTTTCTCCTGAATATAACTAACATTTTTAAAATAAATGAATCAAAGAAATACATTATTGATTCAAGGTTAGGAAGGTCTAAGAAATGTCTGTAGAACCATTATTAGCACTGGCTGAATGTACTGAGACCTTCAGGCTGAACTGTCAGCACTGTTCTTTAGACCTAGTCTGTTCAAGTCAGAAAATCCCAGTGATGTTGGATTATCCCAATTTGTGTAGTCATAGAGTGTATAACCAAGATGTTATAATTTTGTATAACCAAGATGTTATAATTACAATATAATCAAGAGAGTAAGGCAAACAGACAATGATCACAAAAGAGAATAAGTGGAAGAGCTTACCCTTGGGTTGAGCTCACCAGAAGATACCAAAAGAGGGGATCTCCAGAAGAGATCCTTCCCCTCTGGTAGCCAGCTCTTAAATAGGTCTTTAGAATAGAATTGCCTTCACCTGTGCTCCTCTGGCTGACTCAAGGCTCACCTCAGCTGATTAATCAGAGGTTCAGGCCGTGACTCAGCAGTTCCCATACATAGAGTTAGTACAAAACATATCCCAAAACAGAATATATTATTGGAAAATTTCATTATTTCACTTTTTCTAATTCTAGTTCATTTTCTGCCATTTGCATGGAAAAAAACCGATCAGATGGTAGCTCCAGCCTCAAACATTTTTCTTCTTTTTAATTTTAGTAGGAGACAAGATTACTCTGGTTACTGCTCATCAGTGTAATGCTTTGCATTTGATCCAAAGTAACAAAAAAGAAAATGTGAGGTGTATTAAAAAAGAATTTGGGGATTGCTTAGAAAAGAGAAGTATCCACACTGCTGAGGGGCTCTTTAACATTTTTGCTTCACCTTGCTTTTGTGAATCCTCATATAAGAGAATAGCATTTCACACAGCTGGACCTTCCCAGTGAATCTTCTTTCAGGAGCTCTTGCACCTTTAGAAGCCTCTCAGGCCCTTTGTGAAGCAGGAAAATATTTCCCCTGTACAAAATCAGCAGACTGAGGAACTAAGGAAGGAAAATCACTGGTTGTACACTGAATACATCTAATAGTAGAGTTCAAGTGCTTTGACTTCCATTATACTCACAAAATAAACTTGAAACATAGATTGAAAGTGCTTGTGAGAGCCCTTGGCATAATGCATCAAACCACGTAAGGAAAAAATATAATTTCCTGTGAAGCTGATGAGGAAGAGATGCATTAACGTGTGGCTTGGGTCAGCCAGGGGGTTAATGAAAATATGTCATAAGGCTGTTAAGCAATAAAAATTAAAGTCGAGTTTAGAAAGTAAGTTAGTAGGTAAGACATAAACCATTTTTTGAGTTTAGTTGAAATATCGAGAAACAGGCACTTGCTTTTTTTCCAGATCTTCAATAAGACTTGTTAGTATCAGACAATCTCTCAAAGAAATTCAGGTTTTATGTCTGATCACACATTTTTAGGGATTTTTACATCTATATTACATCTATTTACATCTATAAGATTTACATCTATACATCTATTCTACCACTGTCCAAGAAAGAAAAGAAGATAAGACAAAGAACATGAGTTGGATCCAGAAAATCTTCACCAGTCCTTCCCACGGTGCACACTTGATTTTTCCCTTCCATCTGTCTTTTGTCAGCGCCTCTGGAAAAACTACAGACAGCAGAAACCTCTTACACCCTGCAGGTCACCATCTCTGGAATTTGTTAGACAAGATGGTAAGAATGCTCTCTTTGAGACTTCAGTCACTGGATATTCTCAGCCAAGAAAGGCTATTGATCCATTCTGGATTTGACTTATGAGAGAAGGGAGAATCAGCTGAATTCCCACCTACTGGATTCAGAGAAGTTATAATCACAATGGTTCAGTCTGTTGAGAAGATATTCTCTACAATCAAATGCTCAATATAATAAATCACAGTGAACACTACTTACCTTGCTTGTTGCCTATGCTCTCTTCCCACACCCTTACTTCTTCCCTTTCCTCACCAAAACCCTGTGATTACTTGTTTTCCATTTACTCAGAGCTCCATGCTAAAGCAGATTCTTAGTTTCTTACAGCTATTGAAGACCTACAGGCTATTGGTTAAGTATTGCTACTTCTACAAACTTATTCTGATAAAGGACCTTCTCTCTCCTGAAAGTGTGCTTCTGTCAGGGTGACAGTCATTTTCTTTATAGCTTCGTTTCTTATGAAAATGAGATTTATAGATGAGATTTATACTATCATATTAGTAATAACAGTACTATCTCCCTAAAGATGTTTTACACCCATTGACAATTTTAGCCAAATTTTACAAAAATGTGGTACTCTCAGTCATAATTAAATTACAATAAATCTGAAGGTTGTGCAGAGGAGAAAATCTGCATTAGTGCCATCCCTGAGGGACACAGAGGTACCATCACACACTAGCAGAGTGACAATTGATAAATCTGTATGCGAAGGCTGGCTGAGGATGTATTAGAACACATGGAGAGGGAAACAATATTTTGTGACTGTGTAGGTGAGCTTTTGGAGAGACAATGGATATAAATTAAAAGATGCAGGCCTCTCACTGATTTTCTTGCTCACAGAAAATCTTGTCTGCCAGCAGAAGGGACTGTAGTGGCTTGGAGATACACAAAGATGCTGAAATTCTTCCAAAGTGTTATGCCCTAGCTCTTAGCAATAAACACATTTGGTAAGCCACTAAACGGAATTCTGCTTTTGAAAATCTGGCCCAGAAATTTATTATTGGTATTTTAGGTTTTACTTCAGCAAGCTGTGTTTGTATATCATGAAGCATATACTAGCAACTAACCAATGTTTTACTACCTTGCTGAATTAAAACTAAATACTATACAAAGGCACTTGAAATATTCTTCAGTGCAGTATTATTTAACTACTTAATTACTATAATTTTGATTTGAGTAGCTTTACAGAAGCAGTCTTTTGAAGTCCTGTTGAAAAACATGAAGT